GGGGGATGGCCACACCACAATCCCTTCTCCTCCATTCTCCTCTCGGGATTTTGGGCATGCATGCAGATGCACCCGGCATGAGTTTTAAGTCACCGGGTCCGGGACTCAAACCGTGGTCGACTACGTGGGAGTCCAGCGACAGAGCCATTACACCAACTGCTGGTCCCCCACTCTCTCTTTCATAAGCTCATCCCACTAGAGATGAGAGCCTTGGCAAGGGGGAGGTGTCGGTTCAAGTCCCAGATGTGTGGCGTTCTCGTGGGTAACACAGGGACAAGAACATTACTTACCCCTCTAAGTGCTCGAGGGTTCCAGGACAGTGCGGGAATCAAAGGTCTCAGCAACAACAGGGCCTACTGAGTTGAGGGGGTTGGGGTTTATAATTACACCCTCGTTAGGGGCCTGTGCTCTCCAAAGCCGGCTGGACCCAGATACAAGGACTCAGGGCGTCTCTGCCCTCCCTCCCTTCCACACACCCTTCCGGCTGCTTTCTCCACGAGGGCCCGTGTGACCAGCAGGGGACCCAGGCCGACTCAGGCAGCTGCTGCTGTTAGGGGGCCCTCAGGAGAGTCTGAGAACCGGCCAGAAAAGAACGTGACAGGCCCAGGGAAAGACTGCAGCTCCTGCTTCTGGCGAGGCCGGGACTCCTCGGACATCTTGCACAGGTGGTGCCTGGGCTGAGCTGGCCCGGAGGATCCAGGGTCTAGAGGGAAGGGGTGTGGGCCCTGGGCGCAGGGTACACCATGCCCAGCGGCTGCACAGATGTCCGTGCCCGTGGGGAACCCCGGCGGCTCAGTGGGCCCTAGCCTGGTCCCCACCATGAGCTCTTTGTGCCTCGGCCTTCAGCACCAGTGCCACCGCCACCCCGGGCCCTCACGCCTGTGCCCCATCTGCAGCTCCACCACGGCTGGGACTGACACTGACATATGGCAGCTGAGGCCTCGGCGGACGCGCTGAGCGAATCCTGGCACCGGGGCTCGGCCACCTGCCAGCACACCTTGCCGCGGGCCGGGCCCAACTGTTGGGCAGATGCCAGGTGCTGGCTCCCGAGAGGCTGCGGCTTGGCATGGGCCAGCCATCTATGGGCCCTCGGGGCTCCAGGCCCTGGTGTGTGTGGCACTCCTCCAAAAAATAGGTGGCCACAGACTCATGTCCTCCACACCCCTGCTGGGTGGGCATCACCAGCCTCCACTCCAGGCCTGCCGGGGCCTCCTGAGAATCCCTGCAAGCCCGCTGCACCGCCCCACGCGCTGAGCTCAGCTGTGTGTGTCTGATCCACACTGTCTACTCTATCCAGCCCTGCCACCCCACACGGTGTGACGGGGAGGCCTGTGGCCACCACCCTGGAGCCACAGCATGGCCACCCTGGCCCTTTCCTGTTGTTTTCCTGACCAGGACCCTCCCTGGACCCCAGCAGTGGTCTGTAAGCCTGCCTGTAAGCCTGTGGCCATTTTGATCCACGTGGTGACCTCAGCTTTGCGCTATGGCGTGGTGGCCTGGGACTTTCATGCCTGGACTGGACTCTGATAGGACTGCATGGCTTTGGGAAGGTTACAGCCAGTCTGTGAGCCTCAGTTTCCCCACTGTAACATGAGGGAATCTAGTGCTTTTGTTTCCATAAGGCGGATGAGTCTGTGGCTCTCTGGAATGCCCTGAGCCCGTCAGGGAGCCTGCATTTAAGCATGTGCTCATTTCTGGAAGAAAAACCAGATGGCGTGGGGCCGGGATGGCTCAAGTGACTTGTTCCCTGACCTTGGGACACTTGCTGAGCCTTCAGGTCCCCCGCACACTGCCCTCCCACTCACAGTGAGCCGCATGGGGACACAGCTCAGCTGCTTCCTGGGCTCCTGGACACACAGCCACGGAGGTAGTGTCAGGAGGCAGGAGAAGGGGACCATGCAGGAAGCACCCCTAAGTGCTGGGTCAGATATTTCTGGGTTACTGGCAGCTCACATGTACACCAAACAACCCTGCAAGGCAGACAGTGTAGCCACCTGACAGATGAGGAAACTGAGGCTCAGAGAGGTCATGTGACTTGCTGGAGGAAGTCCAACTTGGATGGAAATCTAGGCCTGAGCCCTTGCCTGGACCCTGTAGGACAGAGGTTCCAAAGGTTAAAGTGCGAAATTGTGATGCAGAATCACATAAGGGGCCACTGACTCCAACTTGGGGCCACCAGGGGGACTTCAGGGAGGCGCTGCACTTGATCTGAGAATCTGGACTTGATCAGGCCAGGCAGAGAGGAGGTGGGGAGGCAGCTGGTCACAGGTTCTGGAGTCCAAGAGCCCCAAGTGCAACTCTGTGCGGCCCCAGCCAGTCACAGGGGCGTGGGCCAGTGCCAGGCCATCTCTTGGCAACTCCCTCTTCCGTGAACACAGGGTCCTGGCAGGACCCACCTTATGGGGCTATTGTGAGGGCATGCAGGTAAAATGCCAGCCCGGGCCTTCCAGGGCCCAGGTTTATAGAAGAGCAGCTTAAATGTGGCTCTGGTAACAGGTGAAGTTGTCACCGTGAACAGCCGGCGCCTTCGACAGCACAGCCCTACACGGGCACTTCAGGCAACTCACCCTAAAACCAGTGCTCCCGACAAGGCAGCCCTCACTCTTCAAGGGATCCCAGGCCCTGGCGACCCTCAGGCCTGTGGGCATGGCAGGAGGGGTACGAGGTCTCTGAGGGATCTCCCCTTTTGGGGAAAGTCGGAAAGGCCACGCTGGCTCCCACCTCCTTCTCCCAGAGCCCAGAGTGATGGCAAAGCATTTTACAAAGTTACTGGGACGAGGAGCCTGAGCCCATCGCCCTTCCCTCCCTGCTGTCTCAGTAAATAAATCTCGGCCCACAGCTGGGGAGAGCCTATATATTTACATGACAATTGTGCCTCATGATCACGAGGCTTGTGGCTCTGGCAGGCGGCGCGCAGGGGTGACAGTGGTCCTAGGAGAGCCAGTTTTCTGGCGACTTTTACTGTCCATTATATCCCAGCATTTACAGGGCTCTGCTCCAGGTCTGGCAGGAATATGGCACACGGTGGGACTGGCAGGCCTTAGTGTTCCAGCCACAGGGCTGCAGATCCTGCAGATCCTCACCCATCCACTCAGGTCTTTGTGTGATCCGGGGCCCCTGGTGGGAGGAGGCTGGGGGTCTAGCAACACAGGAACCTCCACCCCAGCCATTGGCTTAGTCCAATCTGATGCTCCGGCCTGGGGGACGATCCTACCTCTGTGGCCTTCCTAAGGCCCTAGGGGGCTTTGCAAAGAAGAGAGGTGCGGAGGTTCACTGAGCTGGAAGTTCCTGGCTTGTGGGGATGCCTGCTAAATTGTCAGGGATTTTGAGTCGGCTGATGTCGCCTGGGCTGCTTGAGCTCGGTCAGCCACGGGAGAAATATTTCTATCACGGAAATCGGCAAACACTACACACAGGGAGCCTGTACAAACGTCCCCTCTGCAACTGTCTCCCAGCATCCCCAGGGAGGGGGTAACCCCAAGGTCCATCAGGAGCATCAGGTGTTAAGTCCTGACTTCTTGAGCCACTCACCTTGTGACCACGTGCTTTTGGTCCTCTTTTATAATTTCTTATTTACATCCAATCATCACACGTCTCTAGGTACGCATTATGACTTTTCAAAGGATGCATGCAGTAGGTGACAATCAAATCAGGGATGTTGCCACAGGCGACATTTTCAATGGAGAACTTTACATCCTCCTGTCTGTCAGGTGTCTCTTCCCTCTGCCTCTCCTGCCCACTCGCCTCCCTTACTGTCTCTGGTCTCTACACCCATCCTTCCTACTGCCGTATCTTCATCTCTCTCTCCACTCCTGCCGTGGTGCAGGCACTC